GAAGATCTCTGCATTAGGAAGATTTGTCTGACCACCAGTGTAGGAGAAAGACCACTCGAAATGTTTTAGAATTGTCTAGGCAGCAGGGGACGAAAGCTGTGGCCATGGAGATAGAAGGGAAAAGACGGGTGTAAACAGTTTCATAAAAGAGAAAATTAAGAAAAGAATTGCTGGCTAAAAGGGAATGGTGATACCATCAGCAGAAGTCAATGTGTTAGGAAAAGAAGTCAGCTGAGAAGGAGGAGGAGGAGTTTCTTTTGATCATATTGAGTTTGAGGTGTTGGCAAAACTTCCCAGAGTTGTCAGTCAGCAAGCATTTATCCATTTCTTACAGTGTTCCAGTCACTGCTAAGTGCTGAGGATACAAAGTCCCTGCTTTCAAGGAGCTCACAATCTAATGGGGGAGACAACATAAAAACAACCATGTGTCATCAAGGTGCACACAGGATAAATTCAGAGTAATCTCAGGAGGGCACTAAGATTGAGGAGGATAGGGAAAGGCTTCTCTTGGAAGGTCAGACTTCAGCTGAGACTCGAAGGAAGCCAGGAGGCAGAGGTGAGGAGGGAGAGTGTCCTGTGCACGGAACAGCAAGGAGGTCAGTGTCATTGGATTGCAGAGTATGTGGAGGGGGTGTGAGAAACCTGTTGTAAGAAAATGGAAAAGTAAGGGGAACAAGGGGAGGGAAGGAACAAGTATTATGAAGTGCCTTTACAAATATCTCGTTCGAGCCTCACAACAATCCTGTAATGTAGGTGCTGATATCCCCATTTTACAGTTGAGGAAACTGTAGGGGCCCGATTATAAAGAACTTTGGAAGCCAAACAGGATTTTATATTTGCTCTAGGGGTAATAGAGAGCCATGCATTCATTGAATGGGGATAGAAGGGTCTTTTAAGAAGACCAATTTGACAGCTCAGTGAAGGATGGATTAGAGTGGAAGGAGACAAGGCAAAGAAACCAACCAGCAGGTTGAAAGCTGCAGTTTTTTTTCCTGCCCCTAAATTAATCCCTGCTTCTGTTTGTAGACTGAGAAATAATAGTAACAACAATAATAAAAACAACAGTAGTAGAATTTATGTAGCACTTTAAGGTTTGCAATATCTCTTTTGATCTATCCTACATTACAACTTCACTGGCTTAGAGACTTTATAATACCATGTCTCTGTTCCATTTGAGATTGTTAAAGTCTTTAACATGCCACGGAAAGTGTTTATATTCCTTAAATTCGTTTAATTTGTGCACATGAGTATCCTTTCTAGGTACAATTGGTAAGGTTTTCCCTTCTCTTTGTTGGTAGACATTTATGTTGTCAAGTTCAGGATGTGTGCGATTGGTAGTTATCACCCAAGTGTAGCCATTGTTGTTTGTTTTGTTATGATATAAATATCTAAAATTAAGCAGTAAGCTAAAGAGTTGTTTTCTAAAGGGGTGGGGGGGTATATATAGGTATAGAGAGAGAGAGGTGTATAGGTATATAGACTAGAAAGGTAGCTTAGAGATTGTGCAGTGCATCCAGATTCAGTTTATGGAGGAGAAAACTGGGACTGAGAGAAATTAAGCAATATGTTCCAGATCATTCAGCTAATTCATGGCATTACTGGGACTAGAGTCCAGGTTCCCTGTCCCTGTCTCCTGACCCAGTGTTCCTTCTACTACATTACAATGCCACCTTCTATTCACATTTAGAATATGTACTTGAGGGGCAGCTAGGTGACGCAGGGGATAGAGCACTGGCTCTGGAGTCAGGAGGACCTGAGTTCAAATCTGGCCTCAAACACTTGATACTTACTAGCTGTGTGACCCTGGGCAAGTCACTTAACCCCAATTGCCTCTCCCCCCCCCCCCCAAAAAAAAGTGGACTTGAAGCTGGTTGAGGCATTAAGTCATTTACTAATTTACTATCCTAAGGATAGAGCTCAGTTCCATGGATATATAGTTTAAGTCTTAATAGAGATTTTTTGTGATCATTGAGCTTTGGTACTTCGAAGCCTGTTGCTGGTATTGTTGGAAAAGGAAACCAAATAATTTTCTGAGTTTCCTTTTAAAAAGTAAAATGGTCACAAATACTTGAGAAATGAATATTTAGAAAAGTAAGGGATAGACACACCCTTTTCCCTTCCTTTTCTCATACTGTGAAACAGAATCTTACTGTTAGTGAAAGAAGGTATCACCAATCTGAAAATTCGTTGCAGTGGAAATTTAAATCAACATAACAGCTGTCTGATAATACAGTTGATCTTATTAACTCTGCTGAGATTTTCTTTATGTTTGAATACTAGTAAACAGAGTGTGTGGGCACATAAGGAGTAGAGCCAGATCTGTGTGTTTCTACTTTGCAAATAAAAGCATAGCTAAGACTAAGGATTAGTCAGAGATTTTCAAATTATTTTTGAAATTATTTTTCCCGTATAGGTATGGATGAAGTTGGAAGCAAGTATGGAAGACTTTTATTTCTTATTTGCTGCATCCAAAGTAACTGATTTTATATTATAAAATGAGAAGGGACTTTAGATATTGTCCAGGACATCCCACCCAGTAAAGGAAGCCCTTGATGAAGCATTCATGGTTTTCATAGTCAGTTACCAATCAGTGGCAGTCACAAAGAGTCAGAAACCATTGAAACTACAGTGAGCATTTATTAAATGCCTACTGTGTTTTAGGCATTATGCTAGCTGCATGAAATACAGAGACAAAAATTAAACAGCACCTGCGCCGAAGGCGCTTGCATTCTATCCAGGGAAGCACCATGGACACAAGCACGTATTCATAAAGTAAATACAGGGAAATAGAGAGGGGACGGGGTATGGCAGGGATAGTATTAGGAGCTGGGAGTCGAAGTAGGTAATGGGGAGAGGCAGTCAGACCTGGGAGATCAATAAAGGTATAGTGGGAGGTGGTATTTGATCCGAGCATTGAAAGAAGAGAGGCATAGGTCAGCACAGGAGTCCAGGGAAACCAGGGCAAGACCAAACAAGGCCAACTCACCAAAAAATTCAGCAGGGGACAATGCCTGGCCCTGGACTAAACCCAAGTTCAGAAACTAAAGCTGGAGAGGTGAATTAATTAAAGAAAACACTTACTAGTAAAAAAAAAAAATGTAACTCTAAAGATCCCCAAAAGAAAGAGCAAATAACTCTGTAACAACTACAAACTGAGACTCAAAGGAGACAAAAATGGATTTGCCACATGAACCACAAGAAAGGAAGCAGTAGGTTTGTGGTCTTTTTTTTTTATTACTGAAATAAAAGTTCTCAAGGAAAGAATTGGAAGAATAAATCGCTTAGAAGACAAAGTGGTAAAACTTACCCAAGTAATGGACTTCTGAAGACTAGAAAAGACTAAACAGAAATCAATGATTCCATGAAACAGCTAGAAACATTAGAACAGAGTCAAAAGATAGAAAATGGAAGAAAATATTAAGATATCTGATATTAAAAACAACTGACCTGGAAAATAAGGAGAGATTATTTAAGAATCATTAGACTCCATTTAAAAAAAATTGTTTTAAAGCCTAGATCTCTATTTCAAGAAGTCAAATGAGAGAACTGCCCATATCAGAACATATTTATAGTCCCGTAGCTCTGAAGGGACAAAATGAAGATAGAAAGAATTCGCCAGTTGCCAGTGGCTGGGGTGGGGAAGTGGTGATGGGAAAATGTTGGGGACAAAAAAAGGTCTCAGGGATATCTTTGCTAAAATCTAGAGCTCTACTATATCAAAGAAAAAGTACTGCAAGGATTAAAAATGAAGCAGTTCAAATACCTAGGGACCACAGGCGGGATCACACAAGATCCGACAGCTTCTACTATAAATGATAGAGGATTTTGGAATACAGTATTCCTGAAAGGCAAAAGAATAAAGGCTTACACAACCAAGAATAACAGCTTACAAAGCTGAGACTAATCCTGTAGGGGAAAAAAATGAATCTTTAATGAAATAAAGAATTTGCAAGCAGTTCTGATGAAAAGACCAGCAGAGTAGGACCTTAAGTACAAACATAAGAATCCAGAGAACTCTAGAAAGATGAATTTATTTGAGCATTTAAAAGGAGCTGTATGATGATGTACTACTAACATTCTAATGAAGGAGAAGAAGTAAGATCTCTTCAAGAATCTTAATATCTTCAAAGGTTATTAAGAGAGTTAAATAAGAAACAGAAAAGATTTGGGAGTGGACTGGTTCTATTTTGAGGGTTTTAAGAGGGGAGAGAAAAGGTAGGGTAAAAGCCGAAAGAAAGGGGTGGAATGTGCTATTTCTCATAATTGAGTTGCATGAGAAAAAATATAAAAACATGAAAAAACAGGGACAGTAGACATTAAATAAATCTCACTTTTCTCTCAAGTAGACAAAGGAGGGTTGAATACACGCAACAGTTTATTGTAGAAATAAAACTCAACAAGCAAACAAGTAGGTGCAGGGAGTGGAGTTGGTTAAGAGAGGATAATACCAGAAAAGTAATAATGCAAGACAAACCAACTTCTGGGCTTTTAGGGGAATTAAAAGAGGAGAAGAAACAACTACAATTGAAGCTGTCAGTTGGGGACAGGCTAAACAAATTGTGGTATATGAATGTAATGGAGTATTATTGCACTGTAAGAAATGATGGATTAGATGGTTTCAGAAACCTGGGAAGACCTGTTTGAACTGATAGAGTGAAACAAGCAGGACCAGATTAACTATTTATACAAAAGACAGGAACATTATAAAGAAAAACAACTTTGAAAGATCAACCATGTCTTCAGAGGACCTATGATGAAATTTGTTATTTCCTGACAGGTGATGGACTCAAGGTACTCAGCCCACATGTCTAGTCATTGCCAAATGATATCCTCTGTCTGCGTCTCTTGCCTACATTATTAATGCTCAGATCATCATCATCTTAGTTCAGTCCTTCATCAACTCTAATCTTGACTATTGTAGTAGCCTCCAAGTTAGTCTCCTATCTCTAAGCCACCCTCCACAAGGCAGCCACAGTGATTCTCCTAAAATACAGTTCTAAGTGCTTGCTTCGCAGCACATAATACTAAAATTGGAATGATACAGAGAAGATTAGAATGGCACCTGCACAAAGTTGACACTCAAATTCATGAAGCATTCCATATTTTTTTAATATAATTTTTAGAAAAAATTTTAAAATACAATATGAATCATATCAGTGAGTGAGTTTATTGAGCTAGTCAGGAAGCTCCAATGGGTCCCTATGGCCTCTAGAATCAAATATAAGCTTGTGTCTTTGGCCTTTAAAGCTCTTCACAATGAGGCTCCTTTGTACCTTTCCAGCCTTCTTTTCCCATTACTGTCCTCTGTGCGCTCTGCAATCATACAGGCCTCCTTGCTGTTGGAGACCCACAATACTCCCATCTGTCTGCAGCCTTTGCACTTTCTGTCCCCTATACCTGAAATGCACTCCCACCTCACCTCACCTCTCAGAATCCCTGGTTTCCTTTAGGACACAAGTCAAGTGTTATCTTCTACAAGAAGCCTTTCATAGTCCCTCCAGCTGCTAGTTAGTATATGCCCTCTAAAACTATGTATGTATTATGTCTACACATATATGTACACGTTGCCTCTCGTTAGACTATAAGCTTTTTGAAGGGAAGGCTTATTTCACTTTTGTATTTTGTAGCACTTAGCACAATGGTTGGCACATAATCAGTGCTTAATAAATTTTTTTTTGATTGATTGAGAAAAGACCATGATCGCATCAAGTGAAAGTTGTTTGAGAATTGGTTGAGTTTGGTGTTTCTGTAGACATTGGAAAGGGAGCCAGTAGATAGGAGGAGATTGAAAATTAGAAGGGGAAAAATCAAGGGTATAAGAAGTATTGGCCTTGGTGAGAAGAAAGATGGTCACCTTTTCAGACATGAGTAAAGAAGGATGGGGGGGGTCAGAGGTTTTTAAGATATGGAGTAGGGGATAAGAGGCAACTAATGATGAATGGACTCTATTTTCTCAGGAAAGTGTGAATAAAGTTTCTCTGTTGAGAGGGTGTAGGGCAGGAGTATTGTAAGAGGCATGAAGAGATCAATTAGAGAGGAGTAAAAGCATTGCCTTGGTGTAGAGTGGCCCCAATTTTGTAGTGGACTCAGTATTGTTGCATGACTTCCTCCACCACCTTTCAGAGGTAGATGTTGAGAGGACTCTACAGTTGGCAGGGCATGAATGATACTAGGATAGTGGAGCAAGTTATTCAAGAGGATGGTGTATATCATTAAACTAAAGGGTCAAGATTAGCAGAGAGGAAGCAGAAGTTAAAACAAAGGTGACAGTGTGGGAGTATGCTCAGAGACAGACAGAGACAGACTAAAAGTCCTACTGAAGACAATGAATGGATTTAAGAGGAGAGAGACAGAAGAGATGAAATATTAGGACGTTATGGTCATCTAACTTGCAGAGAAGCTCTTTACAAAACTCCAGGAATTTTTTTTTTAATAGCTCTTAGTGTTAAGAAACTCTCATATTGTGCCAAAATCTATTTCTCTATAATTTCTGGCCTTTAGACCCTCTCCCTTTGATACACATAACAAGTATGAATCCCCCGTATGGAGTATTAGAAAGGACTTTATAGAGACCATCTAATCTAACCCTTCATTTTAAAGATAAAAAAAAATGCTGTAGAAGGTTATGTCATATCTAAAGTCATATTCAGCACTTCCAAACTTTTCATAAATGCTTTTTCTACCACACCATCGTTTCTCCAACTCTTAAGGTATTTGAAGTTATCTATCAAGCCATTCATTCAGCAAATGTTGTGTCTGTTAAAGTGCCATGTTCTAGACAGTAGGGGAAATAGGAAGATGAATGCAACATAATCCCTGCCATTGAGGAGCTTACAGTTTAGTGGAGGAGATAAGACATATACAGAAATAACTATAATATAAAATAGATATAAGTACATATGAAATATATGAACTGGGTGCATAAGTATTTGTATGAAGGGGGAGAAGAGGTAAGAATTTCTATCCAGGAAGTGAAGTTGAAGGCTTACATTAGCTAAACCTCACCATTCAACTAATCTTATTATTGTGTGGTTTCCATACCCTTTATCAATCTGTTCACCCACCTAGATATAGTCTAGTTGATATCCTTTTTAAAACATGGTTACTGGAATTGGATACAGAACTGCAGATTTGGACTGACCAGCATAGGTTCTGTTGGGATTTTAATTTTCTGAGTCTACTTTGATATGAATTAAGAATGTTTCATCTTTTCCCTTTGTTGTGTTTAATAGGCAGAACACCTGAATGGACTTAACCTCAAAAGCTAGTTTCTGCCTTTGTTATCATTTATATTTCATTTAGGAAAAGGAGTTAACCTTTCAAGATGCAGGAGTATATCAGAAGCTGCTACTCTGCTCATGTTGGGGTGAGAAGTAGAGTTGATAGGTCGGGTCTCCCCAGGCCTACATGAACTTGAGGTATGAAATGAGCATTTGGATGGGAAATTATAAGCAAGACTGATTTACTGAGGCCACTGTGTATCATACCCATGTGAACAAGTTGTGTAAATCATTCAGATGTGAAATATACCCATAGATCTATTGCTAAAAGTCCAGTCTCAGAAATGATATTTGATAGCTTTGTGAATTGATTGGCCTAGAAGGAGGGGCAGAGTGTATCTAAGTTTGAAGCACACTTTGTAGTTTATCAAGGTTTGCTCATAGTATCTATGTCATCATTATACAGATTCCTTTGTCCCACCAGCTCTTTATTCCTCCCCCTCCCCACCCCCCACCAAACTGCTAATGCCCTGGGAATGGAAGCACATAGCTCATGTACTGCTTAGCATACCAGGGTACTGCCCGTTATTTTGTAGTAAAGAAATAGCAGAATTTCTGAGGCACCTCAGTTGAGAGTGGTGTCCTATTCAATTAGAGGTGGCAAAGGCTGGCCTGAGTCCAAAGGAAGCCTGTCAATTCCTCTCCTTTTCCGTGTCCACGCTCAGCAGGATGCTTCCTCACGCCCACCTCGCTCCCCCTTGCTGTGACTTTGGCTTCCGCCAGATGTCACACCGCTGCTTGTCACCGCCCAGACTCCTGTCGCTGATTTTGTTGTTTCAGTGTATTTATCACAACTGTTCTCTTTAGCTGTAAAATTTATGGAATTTCACGCTCTTCTAATCGCTACAGTGTGTTTCTTTTAAATCAGAGGAAAGAAATACAAGAAGTTAGGTATGTATCCAGAGTTGAGGGGCAGCAAATACTGTCTTTAACAGAATTTGCTTACCTTCCCTTTAGATGTAAAAACCTTAACCTGAGCATAGGAGAGGGCTAGGAAGCAGGAAAAAAAAATTTTTTTTCCAGAATGCCCGAGGAGCAATAAGTAGGTGAAGAATCATACATATAGTGGTCTAGTTGGAAGGGATCTTAGAGAGGCGCAGATCATTTTGCAGTGGAGAGAACTGAGTCCCAAAAAGAAGGAAGAACATGCCTGTGGACCCATGTCAAATGAGTGGCAGGATGGGGACCAGAACTATGGTCTTCCATCTCCAGTTCTTTCCAGACTATTTTTCAAGGGTTCACATATTTAATGGCTATTCCCCTGCCTTTATTTTTCAACCTTCAGAGAACTTTTACAATTTTAGTAGTTCCCCTGTGATGTCCAGTTGTTCATTCAGATATACGATACAAAAGAAAGATCCTAAACCTAATACTATTACCTCAGAAAAGTGGTGCATTTTAAATAAACATTGCATTGTTAAGGTAAGAAAGAAGGCAATTTTTAATTTACTAGTATACTTTCCTAGCATTTTTTCCCTTACAAATTATGGGGGATGTTTTAGGAGATTTTTAATAATAATACCTTATATTTGCATATCAGTCTTGAGTGCCTAATCTCTTATCTCATTTGATCTTAACTATCTTGAGATGTAAGTAGTACTTTTATCCCTATTTTATGTCTGAGGAACCTGAGACTTTGAGAAAGTGAGTGATAAGTAAGTGGCAGAGCCAGGATTCAAACCCAAATCTCTGACCCCACTATTATTTCAGATTCAGAAATCAACTTAGTTGCATCACCAGAACAATCCCTCTTTCTTCATGTGGGTGCTGAAAGGTACTTGACTTTAAAACAGACTATGTTAACATTTACACAGCAAGCCCATAACTTGATGTCATTGACAGTGATGGCATGAACTGAAATGTTCACATGAAATGCTTGTGGTAATTCCACTCCCCTGTGGCAAGCTCTGGACCAGATGCTGAGAATAATTCAAAAGAAGTCAAGGATAGTGTCTCAATCCAGAAGACCTTGTTTAACTGGGGAGGCAAGAGCAGGAGGAACCATTAGAGAATATGGCACTGCATAATCCAATACAAAGTTGTGCAGACCACACAGCTAGGGGGTGCCAGAGGGCACAGAGTGTTGGTTCTGGAGTCAGGAAGACGTGAGCTCAAATCCAGCCTCAGATACTTACTAGCTGTGGGACCCTGGCAAGTGACTTAGCCACTGTCTGCCTTGGTTTCCTCATCTGTAAAATAGGAATAATAATAGCACCTACCTCTCAGAGTTGTTGTGAGGTGTAAATGGACATTTGCAAAGTGCTTAGCACAGAGTCTGACACATAGTAGGTACTTAATAAATGCTTGTCTCCTTCCTTTGTTTTGTTTTTTTAGGCAATTGGGGTTAAGTGACTTGCCCAGGGTCACACAGCTAGTGTCAAGTGTTTGGTCTGAGGCCGGATTTGAACTCAGGTTCTCCTGACTTCAGGGCCGGTGCTATATCCACTGCACCACCTAGCTGCCCCCTTGTCTCCTTCCTTTGTGAAGTAGGATTGAGCATCCAGTGATGATTGATAACTGTCCACTTTTATAAATTAATTGGGAAAGTTCTCACATAATGAAATAAAGTTAAAAATGGTAGCACAAAATAAAAAACAGCTGTTGGCATTAAAGGGGTGTGTGTAGACACTTAGAACAAGAGTGGACTTTCTAAATTCCTTATTGGGGGGAGGGGAGAGCAGTGCTAAATGTGTGGGCATATGCAAATATTTATTGACAAAATAGAAATGGAAGTGAATATTTAGGATGTTACACATCATGTATCTGCCTTCCAGGGAATCTTCCACTGCATACAGCCTGAGCTGATGCCCCTATGTTTATGGGTACC